TATATATATATATATATATATATATATATATATATATATATATATATATATATATATACACACACCTATTTCCATACACATACCCACACTTAGGTACACACACATATGCCGACACCTACACTAATACTCATACCCGCACCTATACATACACATAATGTCACACCTACGCCCACACCCTATGCATACATACACATACGTACATTCCTGCGCTCACACACAAGTTTTCCTTTTCCATTCTTTAACTCCTTAAACCAATACACAAATCTTGACTAATCGGCTATAGACCTAACTCCAAAACAAGATATTTGTTAATTGTTTTTACCGAGTGCAATTATATATTTTCGTTTTGTAAAACTATTTTTGTTATGTATGTTACATACAAATTCAATAAAAGACATTGGTTTGGAAGGTTAAGAGTTTGATAAATGAAAATTTATCATGTTTATTAAAAATTGATCAATCAAACACGATTCCAATTTTTCTCAGATTCAAACTCTTTTTGCAAATTACATTATTTCCAAAAACATTCTACTAACTATGGCTTTTAGTTTTTGTATTTGACTTTGAGACGGGCATATTATTAATTTCGATTTTGGACGGTATATTTGATATGAAATGCGGAAACCGTATTTTCTTCTCACCAATCACCAGCGGCTGCATAACCCTCTGGCTTTACCATAATCAAGAAACATCCGATTTCAAGAATCTTTTCCTTCATCAATCAAATCCACCACCCTCTTCGTTAAGATCTAGCTACTCTTCCGCTCTCACTCTCTTTCGATTTTCTCTCTCTCTAGAATGATGACAGATTGAAGATCTTGAGTATTCGTCTCTTGAGTGGGCGTGCAAAACAAGACGACAATTCGTACAGGCATGGCTGACTACTCAAACGAAGATTTTATACAGCTCATTAAGAGAATCGGGGCTTATCTATCCGACAAAGTTTCCAAGGTTCTCAATACACAGGTCCTAATTTCTTCTTTTATCTTCAATCTTCATTTGTCTACCAACTGTTTGATGAAATGATCCTATGAAGTTTCGTTTCAAGATCTTTAACTGCTTTGTTCTTTCCAATTTGTGTACAAATTGGGTTCAGGTTTTATTTTCCGATCATTAAAAAACCTTACAACTTTCATGAGTCAACCAAATTAGGAAATTTCAATTCGAAAAGTTGAATTAGGTTCAGCGATGATAATCGTCGTCTGTGTTTTCAAGATGACTTGTACCTTCCATCGTCTTCTAGTCTCGTGATTCTCACATTCACGTGCACATAACACAACCCGTGAAACAAAGCTACTGACATTGCAGTAAAATTGACTTCTAGTCCATATCTACCAAAACCCCTTTTATTCTCACAAGATCCTGACATCTTTACAGGATATAGGGTCTGTTTGGGCGATAGCAGGACTTGCAGTTGCAGTAATATTCACATGGAGATTGTTGAGGACACCAAGTGAACCTCGAAGAAGACAACCTAAACATCAATCCCCTTCATCTAGCAATTCTGGAGTTAATAGTCATCCAGATGCAAATTTATTTCCTTCAGGTGTTACTTCATCTTATGAAGATTCAAGAGCTCAAACTGTTATTGATGAGTTTTTTCAGCCTGTAAAGGTAAAATCGACAATTTGAAAACCTCAATTTTGAAAAATTTAAAACCCTTAAATTTATTAACCCTTTATTCTTTATTTCTTATTGTTGTTGCAGCCTACTTTAGGACAAATAGTCAGACAAAAATTAAGCGATGGAAGGAAGGTATGCATGTGGATTTTTATTAATTATTGTCACAATGAATAACAAGAAACCCTAATTTATTCTATATTTCTATCCAAAATCATAACATCAAGAACATGATAAAGAGCTCAACAATGAATAACAAGAAAACATGATATTATATTATCTATCATTCTTGTAACATGAAAGTGCTTTGATGATAATATTAAGAAAAATAAGTTTACACATGAATTTTCAACCAAATACATAAATCATAATGATATCATGATTTTGTTATAATAGGTAACTTGTCGATTGCTTGGAGTTATACTTGAAGAAAGTAATCCACAGGAGCTTCAGGTATTGGTTAAAATATTCCCATCATTTTATCAATTTAGCCACTTAACTATTATTATTTTTTATGATTATTATAAGTTATAAGTTATAACAATACTTTAATCATTTAAGTGTTTACTAATTTTTTTTAACAGAATCAAGCAACTGTGAGATCATCTGTTTTGGATGTTCTTTTGGAGATAACAAAATTCTGTGACCTTTATCTCATGGAAACAGTCTTAGATGATGAAAGTGAGGTATTATAAATTTATAATTTATATCTTTACTTATATTGTGGGTCCCATTTATGTGACATAAGAGAATTACAAAGTACAAACATGTTTACAAAGATCCCATGTATTCTCATTGGTTAATGGCATTTTAGCTGTTTGACTATAGTTGAATGTTTTTTTACTAAATTTGGATGATTTGAATTAAATAATAAATACGAATCAAGAATAATCATAAAGTTGGTAATTATTAATTTTTTGTTTTCTTGTTGGCTAATTGATACTATTATTTGTTGCAGAAAAAAGTTTTAATTGCATTAGAAAATGCTGGGATTTTTACATCGGGTGGTTTGGTTAAAGACAAGGTAAAAAGTAAAACTAATTAGTAACGATTTTTTAATTAAAAAAATCGTATCATATCTAGGGTTTTGACATTGAAAAGTCAAAATTTGACTTTTCCTATAATTGGAATTTCAGGTACTTTTTTGTAGCACAGAAATTGGAAGAACGTCATTTGTTAGACAGCTGGAGCCAGATTGGCATATAGACTCGAGTCAAGAAATTACGACTCAGTTGGCAGTATGTATACGTACTTTTAAATATTAAATATTATGTCAATTTAACCTAAATTATAAAAAATAAAAATATTGTTATTCATGTTACGAAATCTAATTCCATAATTTGTTACATTTTTTGTTATATGATCACAGAGGTTCATCAAGTATCAGCTTCACATCTCAACAAACAAAACCGAACGAATTGCTTCTAATGTTTTCAGTTCTTCGTCATTGGAACAGTTTTTCAGTGGTTGACTTTTGAGAATTGGTCAACGTCTTTAATTTTTTTGGGAATTCGTGCCTTATATGATGTTATATGCGCATTAAATGTTCACATGAGGCTTGATTTTGTGCAATAGATTTGGTCAAATATCTCGAATATTCCAATTATTATTGTGGCATGTGTAGTTTATTTATGTTATGATCTAAATGATAAAGAACTTGTAGATCTTTATAAATTAGTTGTTGGAAATTTATGGTGCGAGAATAAATGAATAGGGTTTAATGTAAGAAATGGCAACATATTTTTATTAATGTATGATTTTTATATTCTGTTGAAGCTTGAAAAATCTATGCAATTATAGCAATACTAATGGATGATGCTCTAGTAAGATAAAATTGAGAGTGCAATGTTATGCTTTGATAAAATTTTCAAACTTAATGCCTTAATATGTAAAAAAATTTAAGTACAATGCTACACCCTAATGGAATGAAACTAGGATGATGTAAGTAATAGATAATAATATATATATTTTTGTATGTTATAGCATTATATTTTCATTTGCTTCTATTACAACATTGTAGTTTTAATTTTTTTTCCTATTAATGCATTATATTTAAAAAAAAATCCAACTAGTGCATTGTACATCTAATTCTTTATGTTATTAGGATGTTATTCTTTGAATTATATAACAAGTGTAACAACAAAAGTTGTTTTGTATTTCGATAAAATGCTATAATGAAAAGAATTTAAAACTACAATATGGCAATAGGAAAAACAAAAGTAGAATATTACTATAAACAAATCAAAGTACATTTTGTATTTCTTGTATTTAATCTATTATTGTATGCTTATGTATACAATTTGTAGAAAGATATGTACCCTTTTTTTTTTTTTTTTTATTATCTATAAGGACTTGATATGTAAATTGGTATTTATTTAGGGACCGTTATTGTAAAATTATTTTACCCATAGACGGTTATACCAGTACATGTATAAATCCCAGCGTCATCGATTCTCTTGAAGAACACCTCATATGAGTGGACTAACTCAGTCACGCGCCCTGGTCAACTCGGTCGAGTTGCAACTATCGAAACCCCAACGTAACTACAAAATCGCCTCTTCATCGCTCGTCGGATTGTTACCCCGGAAAACCCCCAGCGGAGTATCGACAAGAACACGCACTTTCACACTCGAACACACACTACAACAATTCGTTGCACCTTCAAAACTCCACCGACGATCCACCGCTACTCTCCGCAACCGTAATTTGACGGCGATGGATTCAGATTCGCATCCGCACGCGCCGGAACTGGATGCAAGAACAATTACAACCTCCGATGACGGAGCCACCTCTTCGAGCTTGGATGATCAGAATGTTGTTGTTGCCAATGGAGAAAGTTGCGATGCGAACGACAATGAAGTGGAAGGTGCGAATTTATTGAATTATGTCGTGTTGATATCGCATCATTTACAGATTTTTGGTAATTTATACAACAAATTACAATTAAATGTTTTACTGAGGAAAAATGAATTGAAAATGTTGAACAGCTGAAGGTGGGCAAAAGAAAGTGCTTCCTGAGGAGCTATCACGGAGTGTTGTGACGCTTTCGTGTGAATCCTCTGCTGAAGGAGGAATTTGCGAGGTTTATTTGGTTGGAACGGCGCATGTTTCTACGGTAATCAACTTGTTTTAGATTAACTCAATTTATTTATCATGTTCTTAATCTGTTTAGTTAAATGAATTGAATCAATTGTCCATTTCTTCAATCGATTTGCTCACTTATCTTCTTATTTCATGAAGGATATCTTAGTTGTTTTTCTGGATTTCTAGTTTCTTTAGCTTCCTATAAAGTCCAAGAATGTTTAAGTTGCTAGTATTGTTTGCTTAATTGAGAAGCAAAAGATAAAAAAGGTTAATGTTGATCACAATGAATTACTTAAATTGTAAAGAACATTGCTTAATCTGCACTTCATGTTCCAACTCTTTTTCCTGCTCAAAAGCTAATCTGTAGGAAAGTGATATGTTGATGATTGAACTGAAGAACAGTTCTGTTGCCTCAGGCTAAATGACTAGAAGCTTTACAAGATTTTAATCAATAACATTGACTTTTGAGAAGTTGATTCATGGCAACTTTGGTGCTCAATAGGTCTGTGTTTCATCATCAATCTAGTGAGTTTAAGGAAGTTCATGAGGAACTTTTTGTTCAAGAATATCTACCTGTAGGATAATAAGTAGAATCTATTATATTCTTTTCTACAGATATACAAATATAATGACATAGGGAACATTTTCAGGTTTGTAAAGATCCCATGAATGATATATTGCTACTTTAATAATCATCTTTTCTGTAGGAGTCTTGCCAAGAAGTTCAAGCTGTAGTCAGTTTCTTAAAACCACAGGTGATTCTCTTTATAACTCATGACACTTTATTAATGGCTGCACCTTTTAGCATATAAATTTCACTACCCAATAATCAAATGCAGGTTGTCTTTCTGGAGTTATGCTCAAATCGTATGGCTGTTCTCACTCCACAGAATCTGAAGGTCATTGTGTATACTTATCATCTACTATTTTCTCTTTTCTTATTTGTTAAAAACCCAATCTGAAGAGGATTTAATCATCAAAATGATCAAAACAAGTAATGTCCTTTCACAATATGACATCACAGTTTCGTGTGTTATTTTGTGATAAATGTTCAAGAAGTGGTTTATTTCCTGATAGGACACCACCCATTTTGATCATTTTAGTGATTAACATAATAAAAAAATCTAGGATCTAATTTATATATTCCTCTGAAAAATTATAATACATGGAAAAATCTCACATTAGACTATACCTCTTGCAAATATACTGATTGTTAGGGTGTGCAGATACCTACAATGGGAGAAATGGTGGATTTGTGGAAGAAAAATCACAACATGTTTGGAATACTTTACAGCTGGTTTCTAGCTAAGGCATGATTTCACTCTTCAAATGTTTAACTTCAAGAAAATAGCAATGTACTTTCATTGATTTGTTAACATATAATATTAATATCATCCTACTTCCATTCTTTCCTATAAAAATTACAATGCCTTAATAATAAAACAATTGAAAGTATGATGCTATATTACACTTATAAACAAATATATAGAAGTACATTGCTATTTCTTTCATTAAACTCTTCTTGAATTTATTTCTTGACTTTTGCAACTTTATAACTTTAATTTAGCTCGAATAACATAATAAAATTGTCACAATTAACATTTCATGCATATCATTATTTGTTGAGTAAATTACTGAAATCGTCCCTACGGTTTGGTCAAAATTGCACATTTGGTTCCTAACTTTTTTTTTTTGCACTCGGATCATCCCTGTGGTTTGATTGTGTTGCGTTTTTCGTCCCTATGGTTTGGTCAAAATTGCACGTTTGGTCCCTAGTTTTATGTATGCAAGGGACGAAAAACGCAACAAAATCAAACCACAGGGACGATCCGAGTGCAAAAAAAAGTTAGGGACCAAACATGCAATTTTAACCAAACCATAGGGACGATTTCAGTAATTTACTCTTATTTTATTTCTTTTCAGGTAGCAAGTAAGCTTGAGGTTTTCCCTGGTAGTGAGTTTCGTGTTGCATATGAAGAAGCCATGAAGTATGGTGCCAAGGTTATTCTTGGTGATCGTCCTGTAAATGTAAGAAATAACAATCTACTTTTATATATTTACTTTTTAAAAAAAAACCTAATTTTATTTTTTCATATCATAAAAACCTATCCACTTTGGGTAGATTTTTCAATGTATCAATAAGAAAAAAAAAATTGAAAGTACAATGCTGTAATTTAACATAAATCTTGATGTTTATGTGATGGATGAACAGATAACATTACGCCGAACATGGTCAAAAATGCCCCTATGGCATAAAACAAAGCTGATGTATTCTTTGATGTTTCAGTCAATATTTTTGCCAAGCTCCTCGCGTCTTAATGAAATGGTGTGTGCTTCATTCTCATACAAACTTAACAAGGGCATATTTGTAAAATGTTATCTTATGTTTATGTATTTATATATTTGTTGTTATCAGTTGAAGGAATTGGATGATGTGGACATGTTGACACTTGTTATTCAAGAAATGAGCAAGGAGTATCCCACTCTAATGGAAACCCTTGTACATGAACGTGACAGGTTAGTATCTTCTTTTCTTTGCTATCCATATAATAATATTTCATAGCATCCTACTTTTATATTCAACTAAAACTGAATATCATGTTTTTATAATATATATAAATATAAATTCTTTACTTGATACATTTTTCATGATTTTTTTTGTTAGATATAATTTATAAAACAAAATTGGTTTTGGATGTAGGTATATGTCATCCAGCCTGTTTAAAATAGCAAGTGAGCATAGTTCAGTGGTTGCAGTTGTTGGAAAGGGCCACCTTCAGGGAATCAAAAAACACTGGCAGCATCCTGTTGAGGTCACCAATTATTTTCCATGGTTATTACTTATTTTAATAATAATAATAATAATAATATTTTGATAGCTAAATTGACAACGAAAAATAAATAGTTAAGTGGCTAAATCAACAAATGGTAAACTACATTGTGCTTTTAAACATGCATCTTTTAAATGTTAAAAAGTATAATGGTTAAATGACTACATAAAATATAGTGAAATTTTGTTTTTTTGGAATGTAAGGGTAAAATGGTCATTATGCAGGTGAGAGAGCTTCTGGAGTTGCCTACAACAAAACCAGCGATTTCGGTGACCAAGGTCCTGTCAACAGTTGGAGTAGCTGTTGCTGGGATGGCAATTGTTTCTGGTATCTATCTTTCAAGCAGGAAATAATATTTCTTTCCAATATTACCCTTCTTTCTTATTAATCCAAACGAATTTCATTTTCATTACTACTTTTACACCCCTGACAAAAACTAAAACATAAAACGGATACAACATACAACACAAACATGTGGGTTTTAGATTGGAATAATCGTCAAATTTGTTTTTAGTTACAAAAGAATACATGGTGTTTAGTTTACTTTGGTTTTATTTATCTAAAATAGATTAAAAAAAATAAATAATTCAGATGACCGATTTATTTTCAATGATCGGAATGATTTCACTTTTGCGAATGAGATAAACCTTTTTTTTTATTTTTATGTAACATGTTGAATTTGAATAGTGTACCCTAAAACAAAATTTCCTCATTTTACAAGGTGTTAGAAAATTCTAACCATGTAAATCAAAAGAAAATATAGAAACCTCCGCAGCACAATCCAACATATAAAATAGAGAGAACAGTTGATGTTCACATCGGAATTTGTCATATGAGTAGAGGCACAAAAACCAGTTTTTTTATTATTTTATTTTATTTTTTTGTCAGAAAGTAACACTAGTATGACAACAAATATAAAAGCCTTGAATGAAATATGAACTTGTTAGCTAAAGATTGTTTGAACATATGCCTAATTCATTGATGGGAAGAAAAGATGGTCCCTAACAATTAAGGTTGTAAAGATCGAAATCTTACTTAAGATTGTTTTAAGTTTTGCAAAAATCGTGATCGTAAGATTAGATTGGATTGAGATTGAAAGATTCTACCAAAATAAACTCTTAGTCAAATTTTATAGCAAGATAATGGGTGTGAAGTATACATGATAACTTGATCATTAAAACATCGATAGTACAATCAAATTTAAGTTTTTAAGCATGAACCATAATTTTTGCTGTTACAAACCGTAAAAATTAAGAAGAAAACAACTTAATAACAAAAAAAAGTCATTTTGATGGTGTACAACTATAGACATAAGATCACAAATGGATTATTATGAGTTTGTTTTGTTTAGTTCAAGATGAATTGATGAAATTATGATGCTTTACAAGACTTTTTGCAACTTGTGATGTTCGATTTCAAGTTGAAAATACGAATTTTTGATACTTGGATATATCATAAAACTAAAGAAGTGAGATCGAGATCCTAGTGTGATTGAAATCGTTTTAAAAATCGTAAGATCTTAATCAAAATCAAGATTTTGAAAACCTTGCCAACAGTAAATGAGACTTACCGTTACGTCTTTTAGTAGTTGATAACGTTAGTAAGAATTTTTTTGTGTGTTTTGATGCAATAAAAAAAATGCTTAGTAACTTAACAAACGTTTTTGATTAGACATTTCATTCTTACATAATTTGAAAAGGCTTGTTGAAAAGTGTTTATTATACATGGAAACAAATTTATCCAGTCTATGACTACTCTAATCCTATAATCCCAATGAACCCGTAGGCTTGTTTTTCTTCTTTATAACCAATGACGTACACACCGATTTACCTTTTTCTCATGTCTTTTTTGGTCATTTAATATGTACAAATATAATTTTTCAAATACTAAAAGACGTCTCCAATTATTATATATTGATACCATATTAATTAATCAAAGATATCGTATATGCTTATAATCACTTTTATAAAAAACCTCAAGCTGTTGTAACTTTAAATGAACCAGCCTTTCTTGTTTTCGTTTTTGTAGAAAAGACACTTATTGTTCTTTCAAAGTTTATTGTTGGATAGAGATCGGTCGTACACAAGAGTATATCACAATAAAATACAGACACCTAATACGCTAATCTGCTGTAATTCTGTATTTGACCAAAACTTTTACCTAATACAGCTTTTTGTTTCACATTAGCTAATGTTACAATATCCTAATAAATCAACCAATAGCCTTGTATACATTATTATATATGGAATTTTGATAACTAACCTATACTGAAATCCACTCTGCTTTTGTATTACAACAAGAGCTCGAATGCTCATTTTTCGTAATCAAGGCCTCTAAAAGTGCATTCATAGTGACCCTGAATGAGAAGGACATTCACGTCTTTTTGTCCCACTGAAAGTAGACAAACGTGGCCCGTGTGAACAATATTTTATACCATGTCTTAATTTCTTCGAATGGATTTCACAAAAAAAAAAATGCAAAACCAAATTACCTTGTATTTTGAAGTAGGCAATTGAGAGGATGCCTTGCCATTAAGTCCCATGATATAATAAAAGGACCTTATTTATGCATCGCAATTAATTCATCTTTTTCACATCGCCGCAAAGCAATAACCATGGTTTCGTTGTAAGGTGGTAAGATTTCACAACATTGACGACGGGGTGTGGTCACCTAGAAGAGTATATAAAAGTACATGTATTAAACTATATGTCAAATGTCTAAAATACCCTTTTGTAATGATAACAAAGCGCAAAAAACACACATCGATTGAAATATCAAGACCATAATAAAAAGGGATAAAGGACCATAATAAAAAGGGATAAAGGTCACCAAGCGACGACACATTTTTCACTTAACCTTTTATGTACATCCTAGGTCCTTGCACTTTCTAATTTTGTTTCATCAAGTCACACGGTTTCCTTGATGATGTGGCGTACAAGTGGAGGCTATGTCAACACCATATGGACGCCAAATCAACAACAAGACCAGTCAGTCAACAGAGTGATAGTGACAGTAACACTGACACTAACTAAAAAGTATAGGGACAAAAGATGTACAAAAGGATTTTGAAGCGACTTAGATGAGACAAATAACAAAGTATGCTCCCACTTACTAATCTTAACCCTAATAAAAAAAATATTAACTTATTGTCATCCTAGATTTTATACTTTTTAATTTCCTTCCATCTAGATCACCTTTGTGACCGGCTTCCTTGCTGATGAGGTGTATAAGTAGATACCCCATTGACAAAGCGACTACTCGATGAGACACATTTAGAAATACATGACATAGGACGTACATAGAAAAAATCAATAATTCGAACATAACAAAAAAAAAGTAAGTTGTCATTTTAGTAAATATACACATACCTCTTGGTTCTCTTCCTCGAGTTTTCTCGAGAAAACCTTGATATCGATCAAATCCCGTATCGCATTACTTCTCGAGCAATTCACCGACACATTTCTTTTATACAAACTATGAAACTTATCCGTATCATAAACAACACCTTCCAAGAAAAACGTATCCGGACCTTTACACACATCTTTATAATCTCGTGTATTAAACATATGAAGGCTCGAATAAGCATTTTCTTTTCTCCTCCATGATCGAAATGTCTTTTGGATTTGAATCAAATCCGGAAGGAATTGATTCCCTTCAAACACTTGAACCACATAGCCCCAAGAAACCGATACCGTGATTGAGTTGGAAGGATCATAGCACACAGTTTGTTGAAGGATCCGGGCGGGATCATGTTTTACAGGTTCGAAAAGGCGTTTGACCGCTTCGAGCTTGGTCAAACCGGGAAAGATGGGATCTACGAGGTCGAGGTGGTGGAGGGATAATAATGGTGATAATGGATGTGCCGCAAGGATCCCGAACATGTTGCCTCGAATGTCCACCTGACACATGGTTCAAGAAATTTTAGTTATTTTTCTACAGATCGATCTCGTGTACTGTGTTTGACATGTATGAGACTGAAAGATAGTGATTGCCCTCTTTGTTGTCTTCATTGGAAATAGCTCTAATAAAAATTTTGCTTTTTAGGGCTATTTTTATCGACGAAGATAGATATATTTACATCTTGGTGGGACAAAAACAAATGGTCAATTTTTTGTCTCATAAAACCCTCTCAAAAAGATACTACTTTCATATCTAAAGTGGCAAAATGTGTAAAATACCTTGAAAAATGTCCAAAATACCTTCTAATCACATATGAAGTGTCTAAAATAACCCTTTACTCTCAAATCAAAATAACTAGCTAACTTAAATTTATTTTGAAGAAATGTCGAGTCAAATTCCAAATTTGATCATCAAGAAATAAAAAAAATCATAAAAAATCTAAAATTTAAATGTTTTTTTTTGTTCATCTATGAATTTTACAAGGTCAAAGGGTAAAGCATTTTTCACCTGATGAAACCCTGGTTCATGGGTTAACTCAACACCAAGCTCCACCAAGCATGAATAAACCCTAGAATCACTTCCGTACACATGGGGATACCTCATCAAACACGAATCCAAAACCCTCGCCAAAACCCTACCCAACGATCGGCTGATCGCGAATCCACCGCCGCCGAACGCCATATTAAACGAATGCTGGAAGTTCTGTTCGTAGCTTTCCGACATACTTCCGATGTAAAACCACCGTTCATGATCGTATTTCGCCAGAACCCTAATTAAATTCTCCGTGAAAAACACCGTATCGTCGTCCCCAAACACGTACCACCGAATATCCTCCGATTCATTCGATTCCACCGCTTCTTTTACGATCCGCGCGACACGAATTGCCGACCGGAGTCCGCGCGGGAAGGTGTAGGGGAACCGTGACGTGTCGGCGGAGATAATTACAGGAGGTAGATCGGAATCGGAGTTGGAATCGGTTACCGGGCGGTCTAGAAAGACGATTGCGTTTGTAGAATTAGGTTTATACCAGAGACGAAGGTAGGGTTTTCGATTATTGTATGATTTGTGAGAAGATGCGATGGAAAAGAGGATGTGGCGGATGGTGGTGGGAGGAGGTGTTACGACGGAGATGGCGGTGGGGGTGGTAGGGATTGGGGTGGTGAGCGGATGCGAGAGGAGATAGAACAGAGACAAGCTTGAGATGATTAAGCACAAGTCTTTGATATTTGATGGTACGATTCTGAAAATTGACATTTTTGGTGGTTGTGGGTGTTCTTGATTTCCCGGCGGTGGTTGACGGCGGTGGATGGGGTTCTTGGTTTCCCGGATTTAATCAAAGAATAAAGAAACAGAGTAAACGGTGGAGTGCAAGGTACAACTTAATAATGCATAAAACATGTTTCTTTATAGGAAATAGTACAACTACTACTTTGCTTATTCGCGTCAAAAGTTCATTGCAAAATCCTTGTTAGAAGTAACTTAATGTGCATTAAATGCCAACAAAAGAAATTAATAAGTCTGATGTTACTTTAATTTTGTTGGTTTTTATTACTATCAATATCATATTTTTGAAAAAAAGATAAATCAGATTACTTTTACTTATCTCTTTCATATGCCAAAATATACAAATTAGGTTAAAATAACTCCGTTTTAATAATTTTTGCAGATTAATATGGTGTTTTCCGTAAATGTCATCTGCAAAAATGTAGCCTCCAGAATTTGAGGTCATAAAATGCTTATTTATTTTTTTTCCTTCATTTTACAACAAATGAATTATAAAAATTCTCTACTCTTAAATATCTAAAATTTGAAATCTCTCAAAGTTGGTTTTAATATCACATTTTTAGGTTTTGAGAGTTTATTTTAAGGCTACTCTTTGACTGTTTAGTAATCAAAACGCAAGTTTTGATCAAGAATATCTATTTTGATAGATGTCATTTACGAGAGTAGACATTCTCAATTAAAAAAGATGATAAATATCGCACATTTTCGCAGATGTTATCCGTGAAAATGACATTTGCAAAAATGTAAACTTTTAGTATTTTTTTTCTTATTGAGAATACCTATTTTTGCATATGACATTGAGAAAATGTCATATTTAGAACTTTAGATTAGAAATGTTATCTATAAAAATCCTCTCTAATAAATGAATGTTTTTTTTGTCACTTGTCACATTCTCGTTTAATTTGCTAAATGTCATTTTGTGGTTATTTTGAATTAATTTTTTTTCAGCATTTCTGAGTTTTTCTATTTTATTAAATTTCACATAATACTTTAATGTAATATTACAATAAATGAATATCAATTTCATTAATGTTACATTTTAATTTTAAAATTTTCAAAATTAAATTCAAGTTCATTAATGAACTTATATTTTCTTATAAATTCAAAGTTCTCAAATATTTTGGCATTTATATTTAATTTTTTTTTTAAATTAACTCATATAATACATTGGACTCATAACTAATAGCTAATATAATATCGTTTTTGTTGCAGTTTTTAGAATATCTGTTAGCAAACTAAGAAGATACTATTATTTATGGATTTCCCAATACATCGGGTGGGTGCATAAATATGGAGAATACATGCCCTTTCAAGTTTCAACATTTATCAAGAAGTCTCGAGAATATATTTAAAGAAGAGACCCGAAAATTTGTTGGTGTATATAGAATGACATTCTTTAACGGGAAAACTGCAATAAAGTTCCTACACATTGGCCTCATAATCGATTTAGTCACTATATATATTTTTGAGTAAATTACACAAATGGTCCCTATGGTTTGGGGTAATTTGCACGCTTGGTCCCTAACTTATTTTTTTAACTCGGAAGGTCCCTACTATTTGCTTTTGTTACGCGTTTGATCCCTACTGTTTGTTTTTTTGTTACACGTTTGGCCCCTGTCTTACCGAAAAAGACTATTATTTAAATAAGAAAAAATGGTAGGGTAGGTAAGGTAAGGTGAAAGGGGTGGGGTTGGGGTGTGTTTATTTAAATAAATAAAAAAATCAAGGGTAAAATAGTCTTTTTAGGTAAGACAAGGACCAGACGCGTAACAAAAACAAACAGTAGGAACCTTCCGAGTTAAAAAAATAAGTTAGGGACCAAACACGCAAATTACCCTAAACTATAGGGACCATCCGTGTAATTTACTCTATATTTTTTTTATTTAATTATGTCCCAAATACCGGTAATCGTATTCAATTTAACCCTTTGACCCGGTTAACAGGTCATCCAATTTTCAAAAATTACATTTTTGGCCCAGATTTTAAAATTTATTATAAATTTGGTCCAAAATTTACACTTTTGGCCAATATTTTAAATTTTGTTACAAATTTGGTCTAAACTTTATCCTTTTTGCCGAAATTTTAGAATTTTATTATGAATTCATCCAAACTTTAGTTTTTTTTACAACTTTTTTTCTCAAAGAATTGTTTCTAATATGTTTTTTCTTTATAAAATCATATTTATAGAAAAAAACACATTTTCACATAAAAATCTTATATTTTATATAAAAACTTTTTGTAAAAACTGATTTGTATATATATTTTTTTTATAAAAACGGATTTGTATATATTTATATATTTAATAAATACATATTTTTATAACTAGATATTTCATATAATAAAAACTTTTTAAAAAAAGTTTTTATATAGAAAATATAAGATTTTTATGTGAAAATATGTTTTTTTTGTATAAATATGATTTTATAAGGAAAAAACATATTAGAAACATTTTTTTGAGAAAAAAAGTTGTAATAAAAACTAAAGTTAGGATGAATTCATAATAAAATTCTAAAATTTCGGCAAAAAGGATAAAGTTTGGACCAAATTTGTAACAAAATTTAAAATCTGGGCCAAAAGTGTAAATTTTGGATCAAATCTGTAATAAAATTTGAAATATGGGCCAAAAATATAATTTTTAAAAGTTGGATGACCTGTTGACCAGGTCAAATGGTTAAATTGAATACGATTACCGGTATTTGAGACTTAATTGAATAAAAAAAATATAGAGACTAAATCGATTATGGGGCCAATATGTAGAGACTTTATTGCAGTTTTCATTCTTTAACATTGCTAAAAAACTTGAACTCAAATTGCCCGATTGCCACACAACATACACCATTTATGTAGTCAATATTTAATTAACTTATTATTTTTAGAAATGGAAATTTTGATTTTCGCAGCTATTATACAAAAATAGATTTTATACCGGATGAATAAATATTCTAAATAAATTTTTTGTTAAGATGAAGAAACACGACTCTATTAACTTACTATTTTTTTTGCGTTCAATTTACAAAAGTCCAAAACCATGATAGTCTGACTTGTCAACGCCTTCCGGCACATGTGAGCTGTGAGCACGTGTCGCAAAACCCATTAAAGTTGGGCTGCTTCACTAACTAAAGTTGACCTTTTATTATTATTTTAGTGTCGTAAAGGCCCATTAAAGTTGAGTGGTTCTCCGTTCTCCAAACACTTATTAAACTTTTTTTTTTTTTTTATATGATTTAAAGCTAACGAAACTACTTTCTTTCGCTGACCGAAGGTATATTTGCAACCTTGCTTTTAGTTATTTGATTTAAAACTAGATAGATGAGTTAAAAAACGTATGTTCAGTATTTATTTTGTTGTAATTAAATATTATACCAGACTAACTAATGTAGGTGTTAATATATCCATTAGACACACATAAAAAATGCCGGTTAAAATTTTTTAAAAGTTGGACTTAACCTACTCGGCTAACACCTGGCTAACATGTTTTTATAACAAAGGAGATCATGAGTTTAATCTTAACAACTGGCTAACATGTTTTATAAGAAAGGAGATCATGAGTTTTATCTTAGACATTAACAACTCGTCGTTCAAAAAAATCCATTACTTTTTATACAAATTCTTCTTTGGAAATATTGCATTCTGTCAAGTTGTGACGTAGTTAAAGTTAAAATAAAGAGGTAACACAAACTCGTCGGACGAAGATGGTCGCCGGCGACAAGCGACAACAGTGAATGACGGAAGTTAAAGCACCAGCGAATCAGTAGAGCAGCAGTTTGAGAAGTCGTTGATCGATCACCCTTTTGTTTCTATTCCACGTTCGTTTTTTTTTTTTTAATTATCAAATGGTACAAGATTTGGAGAGTGGGATATTTCTTATTTCATAAAAAGATCGAGCTTAAACATTTTGGACAATTTTAAAAGAATTTGGACCTTAAATATTTTGGCTTTATAATATGTAAACTTCCACTACAAACAAACTAAACCGAAAGGTGGAAATGAATAGTTTTAGGTGACATTTGGTTCGCAAAATGTTTACGAAGGAATTGAAATCTTTAACATAGTTTGTTTTGTTGACAGGAAATGAAATTGGAATCAAATTCCATATTATGTTTGGTTGGAATGAAATAAAATTGGAATGATGTAAAATGACATAATTTTACTTATTTTTTACTTCATTTTAACATTGTTTTATAAGTTATATGTGGTGGGGGGTGGTGGGCGATGGTAGCGGGTGATGTTGGCGGTGGTTGTGGTGATGAATGGTAGTGGTTGTGTTATGGCGGCCTTAGGTGGTGGTAGTTGTGGTAGGTGGCGACAATCGTAGAAAATGCGATCGCAGATACCAAAACTACGATCACAGATACCAAAAATATGATCGCATTTTTGGTGATTTTCTAAAGAATTGTCGGTTAATAAGTATGATGCTATTTTCGACATATTTTGAGTTGCGTCAAGGAAATGCGATCGTAGAAATAGGATATACGATCACATTTTTTTGAGATTTTTCTTCCTAATGACTTTTTCGACCTTGCAAATCCTCGATCAACAAATGCGAACACAAATGTCCAAAAATGCGATCATATTTTTGGTTTTTCGGCATGTTTCGGACGCGATTCTGCAGGTTAAGCATTCCAAGTCATTCCTCAGTTTCCTTCTTCATTTCTAACTCCATTTTAGGCTCCAAACATGCATCCAGCTGCTCCCAAAGTACCGCTCCACTCGAATTATCTGAAAACGACACAAAAATGCTAGTAGTACGAGAATTTTGACAAAAGACATGAGCTGAACATTATTTAAACTAATGACATGCCAATGTACAAATTATGATGCTAAATAATAATAAAAACAATCCTAAAAGATGCATAAAACGGAATCTATCATGGTACAAGAGATTTGATTCATTCATTATCTCACATGGCTACACTTGGAACCAATTTGACAACTATGTCTACTCAAAGGAATTGTCACCGGATTCGTAC